AATTGTAAAGTCTGGGGTGTTATGTTGCAGGTGCTTGTCTGTTTGAATTCTGAAGTCCCAGAGCAGTTTAATTTTATCATTTTCTATGACTTTCTCTATTTTATGATCCCACCAGTTTTTGCTTACAGGCAAATGATATTTTTTGCAGATCTTCAATGCACCATTGCTGCTACTTTGTCATCCGCGCTGTAGTCAGTATGTTGCAATCTTCTGCAACAGGCCTTACAGGTGTCCACTGTTCTTCAGCTCTTTGCCTAGGACGGCATTTTACGTCGGGGCTGGTCTTCTCAATTTGATTTATTGCATTTGTCCTAAGGCTTGATCTTGTGCAGCCAGAATTAGCCCCTCGGTCTCTTCAATTTTCCTGCTTTTAGCCATTGCCAGGTCTTGTTATTATCTGCTTTCCCAGCTATTTTTTTTTAATGTATTGGCCATGTAGTGCTTTGTCTTCCCATGCCTCTATTCTGTTCTTCATTTGGTCTTTCTTGTAGGCCAGTTTGGTCTCTCCAGTAGTCAGTAAGCCTTTCTGATATACTAATTTCAGTGCATCTTCATCATTGTTCTTCAGATATTCTTCCAAAGCCATTTTTTCTTCTTCAACAATCTGATGTACTTGTAGCATTCCACGCCCACCTATTTGCCTTGGTAGATAAAGTCTATCAATGTCACTGCGTGGATGAAGGGCATGATTCATTGTCATTATTTTTCTGGTCTTCCTATCATTGCTTTTAGTTCTGCTTGAGTCCAGTCCACTATTCCAGCTGTGTACCTAATGACTGGGATTGCCCAGGTGTTGATTGCCTTTATGGTATTTCCTCCATTGAGTTTGGATTTTAAGATCTTCTTCACTCTCTTGATGTATTCACCTTTAATCTTTTTCTTGACTTCAGTGTGCTTGATGTTGTCAGCTTGAAAGATACCCAAGTATTTGTAGTACTCTTCCTCATCCAGACTCTTAATGTTATTTTCGTGGGGCATCTTGATTCCTTCAGTTTTCATTATTTTTCCTCGTTTGATAGTAAGTGTGGCACATTTGTCCAAGCCAAACTCCATTACAATATCTTGGCTATATATACGGACAGTGTTGAGCAGCAATTCTATTTCAGATGATGTTTTTCCATACAGCTTCAGATCATCCATGTAAAGGAGGTGGGATAGTCTAGCAGATGTTTTTGATGTTTGATAACCATGTCCTGAGTTAGTCAGTATTGTTGACAGAGGAAACAGTGCAATAACAAATAGTAATGGTGACAATGAATCTCCTTGAAATATTCCTCTCTTGATATTAATCTCTCCCAGTCTCTCACCATTGATCTGCAACTGTGTCTTCCATTGTGCCATCAATCTTTGCATAAATTTTCTGATGTTTCTACTGACTCCTGTTATTTCTAGGCACTTGATTATCCAATCATGTGGCAGAGAGTCAAATGCCTTTTTGTAGTCAATCCATGCCACATTCAGGTAGGTCTTCCTTCTCTTGCAGTTTTCCAAGATCATTTTGTCTATTAGGAGTTGATCTTTTGTTCCTCTGCTATTGGAGCGGTTTCCTTTTTGCTCAGGTGGAAAGAGATTGTTTCAACTAGATGCTGTTGTACTGCATCAGCTACCACACCAGTTAGTAATTTGAAAGTTGTTGGTAAGCAGGTAATTGGCCTGTAGTTGCCTGGTGTTGCCCCTTTTGCTGGATTTTTCATTATTAGGTAGGTTTTCCCAGTTGTTAGCCACTTTTCAATTTCTCCTCCTTGTAGTATATTGTTGAACTGCTTGGCAATGAGTGGGTGTATATTATTATTATTATTAAATTAGAAATTGAGTAGTTCTATGTTTTCTTTGTTTCTTGTTCATCTCTCTTATTTATGTTTTGGTTTAGCTTTAGTTTTAAGAAGTCATCTGTGTGCAACCATTTATATAATTCATAGCATTCCATTGTTCTATTCATAATTGTTATACATTATAAATTATGATGTAGGAGATTGGAAAGAATTGGTTTTCCTTTAAGAATATATGTGTGTGTATCTTTTAGTAAGAGAATATTTACATAATAATAGAAACGATATTCTGTGAACTATGTCAACAATCATTAGAAAAATAGAAATTACATAGAACATATTTAACAGAGTAAATAACATACCTAATTAAATGCATGTTATAAATTAATAATAGTTAACAAGCACTATAATTTGCTGGTTAAATATACAAAAAAGCTACTGTTTCCTTAGCAATGAAGGAAGTAGAAAATGATGAATTATTTGGGACAATGCACAATAATAATATCCCAAGGGTATATCAATAAATTTGGTGGATTAACAAACAGAAGGTTGTTTGGAAAGTAAAGGTTAGAATTTGAGCATCTGGAGATGTCTGGAAAGATCAGAAGATGCTAATTGTTTCACTATATTAGGAAAAACATCAGCATTCTTATAGCAACTAGTAACTTAATAGCAGAATAAATAATTATATAATAATTATATACTTCCCATAAGAATGTGAAGAATGTGAAATATGCAAAGGAAGCAGAGGTTTGATCACTACAGTAATGCAGGCAATATTATTATTTGGCAGCTACTATATACATTGCTACAAGGAATGGATGCAATTTAGGTGAAGAAGAAGCCAAAAATGAGGGAAGGAACACCAGAATATACCAGAGCTTTAGTTTTTTTCCATTTACCATCTGGCTTCAAGTTAGTTGGAATTTTCCTCAAATATAACTGCTGAATGCCTTGTTTTAAACACATGAACTACTTTATTTCCCTGAAGGATAGAGGCGTTTTGTTTTCAAACACAGAACTACCCACTAGAGGAAAATTTATGAATCATATACAGGTAGTCCTCACTTAACAACTGATCATTTTAAGACTGTTTATAGTTATGACAAGCCCTAAAAAGTTACTTATGACCCACCCTTGAAGTTGAAACTGCCATTCCCCCCCCACAGTCACATGATCTCATTTCAAGAGTTTAGCATTTATAAATGTTTGAATTTATAGCATGTTGCAGCATCCTGCAGTCCCATTATTTGCAATGTTTTTTTTTGCCAGTTTTGCCATTTGGGAGAGTGGATTTGCTTAATGACCCCGTGGTTCACTTAATGACCACACAATTTGCTTAATGACTGTGGCGACTATGGCCACTGAAAAAACAGTCTTAAAATTGAGTCAGGTCATGTGGTGACCCACTTATTGACTGTAACGAATTACAATGGAAATTCCAAGCTCAATTGTGAAGTCATGTTTCTAGTCTTTATTTTATGAATTTTAAATATGGACACCCACCACTGAGAATTTTACTGAGGTATTACATAATAGACTTCTTAGCTAAAGTAATCTCCAATCTAGTGCTGAGATCTTGCAATTCTGGGGACTCTTAACAGAGTTTCTAATCATTATGCTGTAAAGTTTCTACTAAAATTCTGGCAGCTCAGAAGTCAGTTATAAATAATCTGGAACAGTTGTGACAAAGTGTTTAGCACTTTCAGACAGACATTCACGGCAACTGGCAGGCACTTTGAAAGCTGTTTCTCATATTAGTGCCCTGGCAAAAAATAGAAAAGACTATATCCTTGTCTTCTGCTAAAATATATTTCACTGAAGAATGTTTTTAATAAACATAAGAGAGCACTGATTTAACCACCCAAAACATAGGATGTCTTGAGAACTCAGTAAGCCTTTATTGGAGTTCTCCATTCCTAAACTAAAGACATTAAATTTATATTAGATGATATGAAGAAATTCAGTAATGCTATAACCAGAAAGAAAAATTGCACTTAAATGGTTCTTCAACAAAGCACAGAAATTCCACTTTGTATATATAATTGAAATGTGATAAAATTTTAATATGTTGGAAAAACTTATCAAATGCTGCTGCTAGATAAAGAAGTGAAGAATATTCCATTATTCATTCATGTTCCTATGCTTCTAAAGCAGTGTTTCCCAAACTTGACAATTTTAAGGCATGTGGACTTCAACTCCCAGAATTCCACAGCCAGCATTGCTGGCTGTGGAATTCTGGGAGTTGAAGTCCTCATGCCTTAAAATTGTCAAGTTTGGGAAACACTGTTCTAAAGGATAAAAATGAGGAACATTTCAAAGTGTTTTGGGGAATATAGAAACTGCTGGCTTTCTCCTCTTCCTGGCACCTGAGCAGAATCTCTGTCAGATTATTATCTTTAGCACAAACAGAAAAGGCTATCCTGTTAATGAAAAGACAACACTGAAACTAATCCACAGATAATTATTTATCAGCTGGTTAATTAGGAACTGAATGCATATTAGGCTTCTTTGATAAAATAAAAATAAAACTTTAGCATATTACAAAATAAATTTAAAGATTAATATATTAATAGTTTCATTCAAATAATCAAGGTAGTTTTAACTTTCTCATTCATAGAAATTTTATATCTATTGAAAGAGATACTTTCATTCTTCATCACAAATAAATGCACTAGCGTTTGCAAAGAAAAATTTTAAAAAAGTGCTCTAAATATTAAAAAGTTACTGGGATAAATGCAGTTGTTTTTAACAGTAATTATTATGCACTAGGTTTTTGACAATTATCCATTATTCTGATAAGGAAATGTTTGAATATTTGAAAAGGATGCAAAAACATTTGTTCCTACACTCCATTCTCTGATCCCACTGTCTCTAGAATAGTGAAGAACAGTCAGAATTGTAATTACCTACTAGTATATACAATTCTAGGATTGTGAAAAATGGTACTTATTATGATTAAAAACTATGGTACTGTCCTATCATGAACAATACTAATGTCTTTATGTTAAATTATCCACCGAGGCTGGATAGCTATTATTCAAAAGATTCAAACAACTCCTGTGTTGCAGGATATCCATAAAAATGGTTATGAAACCACAGAAATCACTGTATTATTATGGCTAGAATCTCACTGCAGTCATGCAACAGCATATTCAATCTTAGAACAGAAATAGATAACAAAAGTTATAGATGACAAGAAAGATGAAACCAATATTTCAAGCATCTAAAAATGCATTTAGAAAATTATTTATACATGGAGAACGTTTTCCTGCTTCAGAAAACTGAAATAATTACCTTTAGGTGGAAAATATGACTTGCTTTCAGCTTTGTGAGGCCAGTCCACCACAAGAGGTCCAAACCTACGAAAGCTAGCAGTGATTTCATCTATAACAAAATAATAATTAAGATTCATCAGAAATAAAAATGAGTGATAAAACTAAGTACTTTTGCTTAATGGTTCTGATTTTTTTAAAGTACAGGTAGTCCTCAACTTCCAATCATTTAGTGACTGTTTGAAGTTACAACAGCACTAAAAAAAGTGACTTAAAACGGTTCCTCATACTTATAACCATCACTGCATCCCCAGGGTTAGTGATCAAAATTTGGGCGCTTGACAATCGGCATGTATTTATGATTATAGTAGCATCCCAGGTCATGTGATCACCAATTACGACCTTCCCAGCCAACTTCCAACAAAGTAAATCAATGGGGGAGGCCAGAGTTGTTTAATGATCATGTGATTCACTTAAAAACTGCAGTGATTAATTTAACAATTGTGGCAAAAAAAGCTTGTAAGATCAGGTGTGACCCATTTAATATCTGCCTTGCTTAGCAACACAATTTCTAGTCCCAACTATGGTTGTAAGTAAAGGAATACCTGTATCTGAAGTTGAACTTTTTCAGTTTTGGAACTACAGGTGTGCAGAATGTTTTGAGCATGAAATTCCATGAAATGTTTAGCATTCAGAGCAAAACAAAACAGAATAGAATAGAATTCTTTATTGGCCAAGTGTGATTGGACACCTAAGGAATTTGTCTCCGCTGGTGCATAAGCTCTCAGTGTACACACATACAACAACAAAGCGATAAGTCATAGGTTATATATCATAGTTACAATGAGCTGTTTTGACCATTTTTGAGATGTTTTGAACTTGAAAAAGAATTATTGCAATCTTGAACATGTCAAAATATTTGTCTGAAACACCTCCAAAATACTGGAAAAAGTCACTATGTATTTGAAACAGCACTTGTACATCAAAACAAGTTGTTTCACTAAATTTTGCACTTTATATATTTTAAAATATTTCAAAACAGAACCCTATTTGGAATCAAATTTCTTAAATTATTTTTTACTCTATGTTTACTTTTTTGTCTTGCCTTGTATGTGTCTAGTCTTTTTGTCTTTATTTTTTTAAATGCAAAAGAAAAAGAACCAGGATCCTGTCACTGAAGCTGAGGGCTACTGACTAATGCTAATATACTGCTCATAGGCATTGTAGATGTAGCTCTAGTTATGAAAAACAGTACTGCTATATAAACTGCTTCAATATTAATAAAAGTAACACCAAAAAAATTAAACGTATTTTATATTCCATGTCCTAAGGAGAGATTACCAATTAGGACTGTAAATCAATTTAAGCTATTTTGATCCAAATTCAGTTGTTATTATATACATAGTCCTCAACTTACAACCATTCATTTAGTTGCTATTCAAAGTTATAACGGCACTGAAAAAAATGCCTTATCACTACTTTTCACGCTTATGACCATTCAGTATCCCCACTGTCATGTGATCAAAATTCAGATGCCTAGCAACTGACATATATTTATGACAATTGCAGTGTTTTGTAATCATCTTCTGCAACCTTCTCACAAGCAAAGTCAATGGGGAAGCCATATTTACTTAACAACATGTTACTAATTTAATAACTGCAGTGATTCACTTAACAACTGCAATAATTTTATCACAAAGGTTGTAAAATGGGACAAAACTCACTTAACAACTGTCTCACTTAACAACAAAAACTTTGGGGTTAATTGCGGACTACCTGTACTAGAAGAATTAGAGATACTGTATTATCACCACTAAACTATCCTATCAGGCAATGATACTTTTTTCTGTGTAAGGTAATACACTGAATTCAATACTGTATTGGTATACTCAGAAGTAGTAAGTAATAGGATTCAGGGAATTTATAGTCTAAATTGCCAAAGTTTATTTCTCACTGAGATGGTGTTATTAACATAATCTTGACTTCTTCTGTCCCCTCTATTTCTCTCTTTGTATAGGCAATAGACAAGGGGAAGAAAACAGAAGTAGTCAAGGTGATTAGATACACTATGTCTTTGTGTGTATATACATATACTCTGTGTGTGTGAGTGTGTGTGTGTGTGTGTGTAAGAGCTTACTCTATTAATCTGTTTTTTAAAGAAATGAAAGGCCACTATACTACTGAGTCTTAGCTGCCAGTAATTTTTAAAGGGCAAAAAACCCTATACTAGGGGTCCCCAACCCCCGGTCCATGGACTGGCACCGGTCCGTAGCATGCCAGCAACCGGACTGCACAAACAAGAAAAGCCCCATCCATGGGATGCAGGCAATACACAAAACCTTTTTCCATGGCACCAGTCCCTGTTGCCCCAAAGGTTGGGGACCTCTGTCCTATACCCTTCCTCCCATCAGTCCACTGTACCTTCATCAATGTCAGGAGGCAGACCTCCAACAAACACCTTCCTAGAATAGCGTTCGACTCTTTCACCATTCTGACAGTGAGTTGGGGAGTTGAGACCTGATGATAAAGACTGGTCACCATGACTGTCATCCAGAAAGCCATCTTCAAAAGGAAATAGCGAAGATCGACCTGTGAAATATGTTACAGACATTTACACAACTGATTCAAATATGCATAGAAGCTTTCCATTAATAAATCTACATAGCTTAACATGCAATATTCTAATTTTTCATATCATATTCTACATATAAATATATTTGTAAGTAAATTAGGACAGTTTGAATTCTGGATCTTTAATCATTCAAACAGGAATTGTCATTAACTTATGAGGATGGGCTACAAGGATACATTTATAATATTCATGATAACTAAGCAAGTAGAGATAAATTCACATGCTATACCTCCAATCAATTTGTGTTTACTTGTGATTTGGCATACTCTCCAATCCTATACATGGAAAACCATAATTTTGATGCAAGCATAGCCTAGAAATTTTTCTAGCAATGGCTGGCTTGAACACTTGCTCAGAGGATAATATTATTCTCTCCTGCTCAACATATACTTGCAAACTGCCGAAATGAATTCAAAAGTTTTTAGTCACCTTGGAAAGGAAGAGTTATCAGGAACTGTTAACATATTTTGCTTACTGAACCTATATGCCCACAAAATAATCTTATAATTCACAAGTTTCTCCCTCCCAACATGGTCATTTTCATTAGAACATAAACATTAAAACCAGATCTGTAACATTTAATGTTCTTTATCTAATACTCAGATTATAAAGATTATAAAAAGTCAATATGAAATATTAATATGTTCCATCATCTAGAATACCTATGATTCACACAGCATCCATAAATCTTACTCACTGTTGTACAATATGTTTTAGGCGTAACGAATTTAAGTCAAAACCTAAACAATTCTGTACATTTCCCTTTTTATTTAAAGTGCTTGTTTCAAAGTAAATTTGATTACATAATAAACTTTCTTCCCTGAAACCAACAGAGTAAAATACAAGCACAAGCAAATAATGCCAAATTCTTCTTCTAATTCTCTTTCTCTTTGTGTGTCTATGTGTCATGCATATATTTATGCAAATATTATGGACTGCATTATACTGTAGGCAAAAGCATCTAGAAATCTTGGCTTATATTTAAAAAGCTAAGCAAGATGACAATATTTGGATAGGAAACCAACTGGAAATCCCAGGGTTGTAGACTAGACAGTGAAAGCAAACATCAGATCAATTCAACATTGTTGTCAAGAAAAGAACCTTGATATCTTTCTATAGCTACTAGCTCAGCTCAAATGAGATTTACATTTATGGCAAGAACCTAAGAGGTTTCCTATAAGGAAGTTTTTTCTTCCATTATTTGGCCCTGAAATCCCTATTTGGCCCTGACTTGTAAAAAGCCTTTTCAAAGGATCAGTGTCCCTCCTAAAAAATGAGATAGGATGCAGAAGGTCACTCACTTTGGAGCAATTCTCCATTGTATAACCAGCCCCCACATTCCAAACCACATCCCTGGGATAGAATGTGGGGGGTAGTTATACCATGAAGAATTGCTCCAAACCAGGTGAACTTCTGCATCCTATCTCATTTTTTTAGGAGAAACACTGATTTTTTTGAAAAAGGTTTTTCAGTAACATGAGTGGCTGCTTGCTGCTATGATAAGAATGGGGCAGGAATAAACCTCTTTATGTTAAATTATATTTGATTCCAAATTTACATCACAGTGTTCCAGCCCCTGCTCTCATGTCACTTTTGCTTAGAAGAAGTTGTCCTAAACACTAGAAAGTTGTTAGATACAACATTGGTTAATTCGACTTCCACATTCAAGTACTTGCGGATTTGCAAGTCACTTCGCAAGTCCAAGTGTCTTTTAAGACAAAAATTGTGTTCTGAAAAAGCAGTACTGCATTCTCTTACAATTTCACTAGTTAATAGTGGCTCAAGGTACTAATATTCATTTTTAGTAACTACTATAATGTTGTCAATATAAATAATATTATGAACAGAACATTTTATAAATGGTAAGAAAAAACATTTTAAAACAAACCAATTGGGATATATAAATGTGGGCCAGTTTATTCTAGTAGTTAAGGTACTGGCTTAGAAACCAGGAGATTGTGAATTCTAGTCTGACTTAGTCATGAAAAACTAGCTGTGTGATTTTGGGTCAGTCACTCTCTCTTAGCCCACCCCCTCACAGAATTGTTGTAATGGAGAAAATAGGAAGACGAAATTGTATTAGGTATGTTCATTGCCTTGAGTTATTTATAAAAAATAAAGTCAGGATAAAAATAAAAGGTTAATTTTTTTAAAAAAAATATTTCATATACTAAGTGATACATGTTTACATGACATAATCTTGGTACAAGGGAAAGGACCTTTCTCCTGATGCCCATTTACAGAAATAAAATTGGCTTCTTCTATAGCTTGTTTTTGTTACCAAAAGGAATCCAACTAGTAGAGAAGAAAACAAGATTTCCAAAATAAATTATTTAAAGGAAATTTTAGGGGATTATTCATTGTGTTTATCCTATGGGCAATGCTTTTTTTGTAAAAAAAAAAAAAAAAAAGGTGCCAGAACTCACACATGTCATACAACCCGCCTTGCCAACCTTACAAGGTTCCATCCAAAACAGGTGCCGGAACTCCTTTCTGGGCGTTCTATGACAAAAAAAGCCCTGCTTATGGGTATATCTGCCAAACCACAAATCTGCAATAAGTATATTTGTTGAATAGAAGCAACCCAATAAATTATCCTAGTTAATAATTTGAGTAATGGCATGATCATTTTTATCACAATAAAACTGAACTATTTCATGAGCCATTGCCATACAGTACAAATTATTCAAAACATCTGGCTTGAATTTCCTAATTGAGTTTCTAAATATTTTCAGAATCTTTACTACTTCAAATTCTGGAAGTTTGCTTAACACTTGCTTTTTAATCTATGCGGTGATGATATCCTACAAATAAGTGTTAATTAGAAATGTATATGTGCATGTGCATATGCACTCTCATGTGTATGTAGTCAGTTTGATGTATAGTGGCTTGGTAGCATTGTGGTTAAAGAGCCACCCTTGACAGAGGAAACAGGGTTTCAAATCATGGCTAGTATCTACCTTACCAGTACGGATCTTACCAGTACAGCAAAGACCCTCTAACACTTCAAACTGCCTACCTCAGATATGAGAGTGACATGAACTAAGAGAGTCGTGCCGGCTCAGATGTTGCCCAGAGTAACAAGGTTTGTGCCACATATTGGGGAATGAGGACAATCTGAATATAAATGGGCTACTGGAACAAACCAAACAATAGAATCTGAAACTGATGAAATGCTACAACAATAGTAGACTTAATGAGAGGGGATATATGAAATGTATGAGATGGACAGAAGACCTACATTCAAACTAACCGAAAAAAAGCTAATTACCCAATACTTAAACATAGTGAAGTGCTTTAACAACTTAAGATAGATCACTACACATTATGTCTCAGACTCAAAAAGACCCAGAAGAACAATTGGATGGGCAGCCAATACCTGAAGTGGAACATCACCGCACCCCACCCTGTGCTGTACAGAGCACAATATCTGATATGAGGCATAAAGTCATAGATAAACAAGCTATGGCTCAGAGGAGAAATGCCATGAAATAATCTGCTAGAATATGTCAATACAGCCCTCAGGACAATCCTTACTACTATGATATTTAAATCAAAGAACTGATATATGCTACAACCACTGTAATCTTGGAGATGCTTGACTACACAAGCAAGAACAGTAGTACATAGCCTCCCTGGAAAATGAGGTTGAAGACTAAGATCAAGGAAACTCGGAGAGAAGTTAGTCAGCCGGGTATGGTGTGGTGATTAAGGAAAAAAAAATGATTAAGACTTGTCTACTGAAGAAAATACAAGGTCATGAGTCCATCTAAAACAGACATTTCAAACTTGCGATGTCATGTGACGTCGCACAACATATCGGAGCTTTTTCACCGTTGCCGCCAATAGAGTGGGCGCGGCTCCGGTATGATGAAACCGGCCCGTGGGCCAGCAGTTTGACACCCCTGATCTAAAACCCTAGACTGCTAAAGGCTCACAACAATGGCTACCAGGCTAAGGAGATAGGCTAGAGAAACAAATGCCAAGAACATAAATGTCCTGTTCTCCAAAGAACAATCCAAGGTGTCCTCCCAACTGCAGTGCAACAACACAGCAATAGCAGAGCCATCAACAGCAGATACTGAATAGTACTGAAAGAACATAGCAGAGAAAGAGAATATACACATAACTCAGACAATCAGGTAACCTTATCTACTCTATAAGAAAAATATCTTTTAACTTTATTAGTAATTTTAATTCAGCAAATAATTTTTATCTACTTTATCTAGGTACTTTAGCTGAGAGATTAAACTGCAAATATGTTTGCTGCTCTCAATAGTTTTTCTCCATCTTTTATTTCAAATGCAGAGCATACTTCTGTATTTAAAGTAGCATTATATAGCAATGTAGCATTGCTGATGATAAAACTAAGTAGTAGACTAAGATTTGTAGTATCCACTCTCTTTCAGAACATTCTCTTGCTTTTAATTGCATTTTTTTTCAAAAACTAGATACCCCTTAACTATATTCTGCAGTAATCAAGGAATCTTTCATTTCTCCTGCATTTAGTATCAGCTCCTTTCGTCCTTAACCAGCTGGCAGCACAATCAGCTCATTAATCTTCATCTATTAGTAACTATGTTTTCTAATTTCTAATCTAAATGCAACCGGGCATCAAGAAACAATCTGCAAAGTCTCTTTTCCTTTTCTTAGTTTTATCGTCAGCAATGAGCAAAAACAAATAGAAGCCAGTTCATGATGGTAAAACAATTACTCTGAAGAAATTATCCAAAATCAACACCCTGATAGGGAAAGAGAATTCTTTTCAAGTTGAATGCTGCAACTGATGTTGAGCAGCATTCAAACAAATGGGTACAGTCAGTATAGAAAAATAGTAAGAGCCAAAAATAGAATGGATAATAGATACTATTATCATATCACAATTATTTTAATCATCTGTATGTATTATACTTATTTCGGCTAGTATCAACATTATGTCACTACTTCTCATTATCAGCAGGCTGTCATCATTATCATCAGCAGTATTAATACTCATTTTAAAATCATAGCAGTATATATTTACACTGCTGTGTAACACTGTCTTATTGAAAGGAAGCACAACTAACTTGTTGCAAATTAGATTATTTCACTTTTGGAGGATGTCATTTAAATATTAAGGGCTTACTTAACTGAGAGAGATTTTTAAACACATAATTTCAAACCATCAGAATTCAGCAGCAAATTGCAAACTGATCTTGACAAGTTCCAAGATGTTAGTTCAGACTGGTTTATTTGATGAGTCAAATTCAGTTACTTACCTAGAATCAAAAATTATTCCAACTAAACTGAATGATACAAAGTGACCATAATTATGTCCTATTCAGAAAAAATAAGCAAATTGGTGCTGATGCTCTCTAGATGCTTTGGACATAATCCTAAAATCCATTATTCTATATTTACTTTGGCCAGATGACAGTGGCATGGCTTATACTACCAGTCTAGAATCTATAGAAGGAGACTGGTAATAAGAGCAACAGAACGAAGATATGCCAGGCTCACAAAGGCCGGAGAGCTTTGGCTTTAGCATCCAGCTTGTGAAGATGAGAAAAAAATTAGCTTCGGACCTTGCCTTTGAACTCTGACAAAGGAGCAGCATGTCAGCAAGCAAGGAACACAAACAGCATGCTATAGTGGAACTAAAATACAATAAGTGTTATATTGATGGATTACCAATTGATGCAAAGAATCACCAATTGGGAGATGGGTGAGGAAAAATTAAGAAAAAAAAACCCATTATTTCCTTTCACCTGGTTTAAAAAAAGAGTAAACTTTAATGGTGCTGCAGCTTGCAATCATAAAAAAACAATGGAGCAGAAAGGTAAAACTTGTAATAATGTGAATTAGAGTTTGGTCAACAATATTTATTATCCAATTTTAAAATTACAAACTTTGTTCTGTATAGTTGCAGAATGCATATATTGGGCTGTACAGAATATTTTAAAGAGTAGTTCTGAAATTACACTTCTAGATACTTTTCCTTTACAAAAAGCAAAACTTAGCTTGATTTTAAAATCTCAAAATATCTTTAAATTCCAATATTATAAGCCCCTAAAATGTACTAGATCTGAGTGCTAATTTAAAATAAAACAAGTCAAAGATTTTTAAAATATTCCTTGATCAGGTTAAGGGCGTTCATGTGTATTTGTGTTCAGATATTTGTATTTACAAATTTATATTTGTAATATAAATTGGAATTGTAGTGAGGAAAAATATATTTTCCCCACTCCAGTCATGACAGGAATTTTGGGAGTTTTGCTAGCGTTATTTGCCTTTTGAGCAAAAGCTATGATTTCATGTTAATATGGACTGTATTTTATCATATACAGCAAACAGAGGATTCCAATAAAAAAGTGATAAATGAAAAGAGGTAAATGCCTTATCCTCTGAAACCACATTGATCTATTTCATATATTTCACGCACTCTTATTATTATTTTTATTTAAATATATAGAGCATAAAGCTTACCCATGTGTTTCATCAGGTTTTAAAAATAGAGAAAAAACGCATGTTTACTATTGGAATATATTAATATTGCATTTTTTTCTTTAAGCAGATAAAGCTAATTATCCTTTCTACTCCTACCAGTTTTAGCTTTTAATAGCAGCAAAGTTCTCTTTCAATATTCTCATTTCATTATGTTCATATACAGTAATTACAAAGCTACTGAGCAGCATAAAGACCAGCATCATTGTTATGGGATGAGGAAAGCAATTCTTGTCTTTTACAAAAATATACCGCTATTTATTCTGCAATTTGTTGTTCCCATGACCATATCTGATGAAGCATTCAAAAGAAAAATTTACCTCGTCTCCGCCCATAGCTCCTGGCTGCATGTAAATAAAAAAAAATACAATAGGTATTGACATAATAAGAATTACTATATTTATAATTTTCTGCAAATCTCAAATCTGAACAAAATAATTCAGATATTTTAAATGTGGAACAAGCATATGGAATATAGCCAAATACACAATTCTAGATTTCCAAAATATACGGGCAAAATATATTTGATACTAAAGAACTTGTTGTAAAAGGTACCTAGAAGAGAATATTATTTTTACAAAAACCAATCTCAAGCAATTATTTAACTGAAATCATTTTTAAAAATAATTTTGTTTAATACAACAATTTATATTGCATCCTTTAGATCAATTCATATTAGATTAAATGGCTATATATATATATATATATATATATATATATATATATATATAATGGAAATTCAGTAGATTAAATATATAGTATTCACTATCAACGTTAATAACCTTATAATCTTAGTTATACAGCTTTATTCTGAAAATCTAATTTTATCGAACACTCAAAGCAATTTTACGTACTGGCAAATAGAATGTAATCTGCAAAAATTATAAAAATTGAACCATTATATTTAAAGAATGTACGGGTTACTCAAATATAATTGTAACTTTAAAACACATCTATATTTCAGTTCTTATGTCACTAAAACAGCAAATTGTAATATTTTCATTTTCTGAAATGAAGAATCCAATAATTCTTTGCCTTTTTTGTATGTTCTGCTGCTTCCTTCATTGAATGAGCAACTTACTACAGGCTTGGTAGGAAATATGCATTCGGTTTTCTGAATCAAAAAAGATTTTAGGTATAGGACATTGTGAAATTCAGCCAAATACATCATTCTTTCTAGAAAGCTAACATAGTGGACATTCAAATCTTTATAGTAGTTGGTAATATTTTGATCCTCCTTCTCTACCAGTAAAATAATTTCACAGTCTTTTTTTCTATAAACTGTTCATTGTGGTATTACTATTTAGAGCTTTTTAATTATTTCAAACTGCTAATTTCATGTACATTAGTACTGTAAAATGTATTTCAAATTCAAAACACACATATGAAAATCACTGAATTCCAGAAACACGTATACAGTGCTAAATGAATTTATTGCTCCATATATAGCTTATAAAATTAAAAACAAAAAAGAGTGGTAACACTGAAAATAATGTATACAGCTTTTAAATTATATTAACTCTGAGATGGAAAGAATCATAAAACAAATCTTCACTTTCCCCCCCCCCCCCAATTTTTTTTTACATATGTATTTCTGTCAAGATAATTTAAACACTGCAACAAATGGTCATCTTGCAGGAAAGACAGTGCCAGGAAAAATGGAACCAAATTCACTGAAATTAATGTGAAGGACTGGACACAAAGACATAAAGAACCCTTTAAAACAGTGATTCTCAACCTTTCTAATGCCGTGACCCCATAATACAGTTCCCCATGTTGTGGTGACCCCCAAGTGGGTGTGGCCACCAATAAGAGGGAGTAGGACAGCTAGGGAAAAGGGAAAAAAATGGCGGACAGCATGGTTTGGCGACCCCCGAGAAATGGTCATTCGACCCCAAATGGGGTCCCGACCCACAGGTTGAGAACCACTGCTTTAAAAGCTGCTGTAGAACAGGCAACTAAATACCAACACCAAATACTGAAACACAAGTTAAAATAAGAAAAATGCTAATTAAAAATTAACCATTTATTTTCTGTATCTCTATACTAGGGATATATTTCACTCATTTCCTTCTACTATGTATTAGAATGGGTGAAAATATTTGACATTTAAGTTGCATTATGGCAAAATATATAATTGATTTTAACCACAGTTGAGCCCAAAATTTATGTTGCTAAATGAGAAATTTGTTAAGTGAGTTTTGCCCCATTTTATGACTTTTCTTGCCATATTTGTTAAGTGAATCTCTACAGTTATTCATTTAGTAATACTGTTGTTAAGTGAATCCGGTTCCCCCTTTGACTTTGATTGTCAGAAGGTTGCAAAAGGTGATCACATGATCCCGGGACACTGCAACCATCATAAATGTGAATCAGTTATTAAGCATCTGAATTTTGATCACATGACCATGGGGTTGCTGTATCAGTCGTAAGTGTGAAAAATGGTCATAAGTCACTCTTTTCAGTGCTACTGTAACTTGAACGGTCACCAAGCAAACTGTTATAAATCAAGGACTATCTGTATTTCAGCTTTATTTAAGTGACTAAGCAATCCAGAATTAACAAATGTAATAAGCATACAAAAAGACAAAACCTAGTAAAGCAAATTTAATGTAGCATCTGTGAACTCTTTGAGTGCAGAGATGACATGAAAGACTCTACATAGATTTTCAAGAATTGCATTAAAAAGATAAATTCCCATGTACAATTCAACATGTGAGAAAAATGTTGAATTGTACAAAATAACTTTTCACATCTTGAGACTCCTTCCCAAGATGGCTGTTGAACGGTAAGGAGATTTGCTGCCTAAGCTGGCTTTCTGGCAGTGCTATTCCCTGGATTTGAATGGGAGAACTCAGGAACCCAAGACAACTTTTGGATGACTGTGTATCCATTTGGGAAGGGGAGTCTTGAAGATTCAGTTCCCTCTGGGAGAGATTGGAAAGTCACAGGCATCCATCTTCCTGTCAACATTTCAGGTTTTTTTAAGCATGTCTAGTCTTAATTTTTCTTTTTGAATTTTTACTTTGCTTTTTAATCTTTAAAAGTAGATCAGCCAGCTGAATGCTGATCTATTTCAACCCCCTGCTGGACTTTTAACTGTTCTCTTTTTTCTTTTTCCCTTTGATTAATGCTGTTCTAAATAAATTTTGTTTTCTGTATGGAAACACTGTGTGCTTTTGAATGATGGTGCTTTCATTTGATTTACATTAATATTGGACTCTCACCACAATGTTTTTATATTTTTTTAATTTGCAAAGCACTTAGAGTTTCTTTTTAATTTTTCTTTTAATCTTGGATCAAAATACCCAGAAAATATTTTTCCTATTTCCTTCTGCTTCAGTTTCTTTGTTCTCTGGTTAAGCTTCATACAGCAATATTGTTTGAGATTAAAGACAAACAGTGGCTGAAATCTGAGAAAAGACCTTCTGGCAACATAAGGTTTCCTGCCTGAGACGGGGGTTTCAACTAGAAGACCTCCAAGGTCCCTTCCAACTTTATCATCATCATCATTATTGATCATCGCACAGTCAATCAGATGTTCAGATTGGATTTGGCATTTTTGTCTACCTATCAAGTCCTTACCGAGGACCTGGGATAGGGAGATGTGGACGTTTGAATTGATAGAATTACAGATATCGTCGCAGAATGGAAGTTGTTCCTAGTAAGGCTGCCTTTTGCAATTGACTGATGGCAAATTTGTAGTGCTCCAGTTGTTTTGAGACTGCACCCAAGGCATCTATTACTATTGGTACTACCCTTGCTTGCCTTTGGCACAGTCATTCTATTTCTACGTATTTGTAGGTCTTTGTATTTTGTTATCTTCTCCAGATCTTTCTCTTCTATTCTGCTGTCTCCAGGCACCACCATGTCCACTATACAGACTTTTTTGTCTTTTTATCAACAATTGTTAAGTCCGAGGTGTTATGTGGCAGGTGCTTGTCTGTTTGAATTCTAAAGTCCCAGAGCAATTTAACATTTTCATTTTTTATGACTTTCTCTATTTTATGGTCCCACAGGTTTTGCTTGCAGGCAAATGATATTTCTTGCAGATCTTCCAATGCACCATTGTTGCTACTTTGTCATGCCGCTGCTTATAGTCAGTCTGTGCAATCTTCTTGCAGCAGCTTACCAGGTGGTCCGATTCTTCAGCTTCTTTGCATAAGCGGCACTTACTGTCTGTTGCTATCTTCTCAATTTTGACTTTGCATGTATTTGTCCTTAAGACTTGGTCTTGTGCAGCCAGAATTAGTCCCTTGGTCTCTTTCTTCAACTTTCTTGCTCTTAGCCATTGCCAGGACATTATTATCTGCTTTCCCAGCTATTTTTTAATGTACTGGGCATGTAGTGCTTTGTCTTCCCATGCCTCCATTCTCTTCTTCATTTGTTCTTTCTTGTAGGAAAATTTAGTCTCTCCAGTAATCAGTAAGCCTTCCTGATGTACTAACTTCAGTGCAATCTTCATCACTGTTCTTCAGATATTCTTCCAAAGCCATTTTTTCTTCTTCAACCATCTGATGCACTTACAACATTCCATGCCCATCTATTTGCCTTTGTAGATAAGAGTCTGTCACTGCATGGATGAAGGGCATGATTCATTGTCATTATTTTTCTGGACTTCCTATCCATTGCTTTTATTTCTGCTTGAGCCCAGTCCATTATTCCAGCTGTGTCTCTAATGACTGGAATTGCCTAAGTGTTGACTGCCTTCATAGTATTTCCTCCATTGAGTTTGGACTTTAAGATCTTCTTTACTCTCTTGATGTATTCACCTCTAATCTTTTTCTTGTCTTCAGTGTGCGTCATGTTATCAGCTCGAAGGATACCCAAGTATTTGTAGTAATCTTCCTCATCCAGAGTCTTAATGTTATTTTTATGGGGCATCTTGATTCCTTGTTTTCACTATTTTTCCTTGTTTGGTAGTAAATGTGGCACATTTGTCCAAGCCATACTCCCTTGCAACATCTTGGCTATATATACAGACAGTGTTGAGCAGCGATTCTATTTCAGAATCCATACAGCTTCAGATCATCCATGTAAAGGAGGGGGATAGTCTGGCAGATGTTTTTGATGTTTGATAGCCATGGCCTGAGTTATTCAGTATTGTTGACAGAGGAAACAGTGCAATAACAAATAGTGATGATAGTGAATCACCACTAGTGACTATTAATATTATTGTTGTTGTTGTTATTATTATTTTTTATACTTTAAACATGAACCTCAGTCAACTGAACATTCAAATTGGCTGGCGCTGATGGTTGCTACCAGCATTCTAAGTGTCAATCAGGTATCTCCTTAAAATATAAGATGTTCCGAGTAGCACAGTTTTTTGTAACATTGCTGG